TGGCAATCATGGCCTCCTTTTATCATAGTCACTACTCCTTGCAATATGGAGAAGAAGGGATTATGTGTGGGAGAAATTTTACAAAAAACGAGTTCACAGTTTGTAAACAACTTTTTCTTGTTATATCTGTTCCGCTTCCCATTTATGATCTTTTATATTACAGCTGAATGTGAACATGGACCACCGAATAGTGGCTTAGTTAATTCGCTCCAGACACTAGTTTGACTACCTCAAGGTTCAAGAACTATGTTTGTGGTCTGCCTGTCAATTCAGAAGGCTTTTGTGTTCAGTACCACTTTTCTGTCAATCATCTAAACAGGGACCAAGTGAGCTTCTGCCCAGGAGATAATAAACATACTTTTCCCATTTAGATTTAAATTTCTTGTTGCTACCCCTCAATATATCATAGCTGTCATTTTCTAACTGAACTCCAATACATTCTTTTCTCAAATGATCTTGGGAATAATTATGTTGATTATTTATCGCTAAGTTGATGTTCTAAAGTCTGGCTTGGTCATATTGTCTTTGTTGTGAAACACTAGGCCTGTCCATTTCAAAATCCTGAAAAACATTAATTTAGGATTCAGATTTGTGCAGAGATGATCCTATCTTTATGTTGGTTTCCTGTTTCCATCAATAGAAATAATGGATCACTCTGATGATATCTTCACTGTTTTGCATCTCTTGTTGGAATTTGTTCCCAGCTCCTAAGAGGAATTCTTGAAACACTCTCGCATGCTGTGTTGCCCAGAGTATTCCCTATGCCTAGAAACCAGAAGACCACTTCAAACAGATGAAGATGGATCAGTAATACTTGTTCATTCATCCTGCAGCATGTAAGATCAACACCAGGAGCTTGTCAAAATTTTTCTGTATTTGAAAGACTCTTGACTCTGTGTCTGTCTTGACTCATAGTGAAATGATCTTCCAAAAAGTTTTCAGGAAATTTTTTCTTTAAGTAGATTACAAACTCATGTGCCTGAAGCAAGCACATGTTGCTCTGTTTTGTGTCCTGACAGATCCCTAGGGATGAGAGACTCAGGAGTAAATTGTCTTAGCATGGGTATACATGGATCCTTAGGCTTCATGGCTAGGCTGTTAGGAGTTCCAAAACTTTCTTGAAGGGAGAGAGGTGATAGTCATAGCACAGGAAATATTTTGTATAAGTAATGGTAATTTCTAAAGGCAAAGCAGAGAAATTCATGATAAAAAGGAGCTGAATGATATTTTCAAATAAACCAGGTCCATCAATGTCAGAAGATCTGAAGAGATTTACTATAATGGAAGTTAAAATCTTCATTTGGAATTTTATTTTTAAGCTACCCTGTTTAATATCTCCACATCTCGGACAGCCAGAGATTTTTAGATGTTTCTTTTTATTATTATATAAGTGAAGCAAATGCTAAAATTGTTCTTATGGCAATAGGCAGATTTTATTGACCGTAGCTTGTAGAATATAATTTCCTGCAGAATGCACTAATGCTTCCCACTAAATAAATTATTAGGGAAAAGGAAGAAATAAGATAAGGAAAGAGACAGGAGGAGAACAAATTCTGTTTTGCTTACTAATATATCTGTTCTCCATCATCGCTCACAATGTTCTATAGTGAACACCACTGCCCTCCCCAGGAATTCACATGTGAGGAAAAAATCCTGTCCTGCTCCTCTGACTCAGAGCAGTTATATTCAAAAGACTCTTTGTGGAAAAGGCTACAACTGTGGCAGAGGTCAGGATCAAGAACATATTCTTTCTTAAAACCTTTTCTGGGAGAGAGAGACATATAGTAAGACAATGTGACTGTTCTGTTTTGGGTTTTAGTCCACAGAAGAAATGTATCATGAGTTCTGGCCTGTCTTATTAAATGCCAGTAAAAATGCTTGAAGATAGTATAAGGGAATATTCCCTGCAGTTAACAACTTGAAAACATGCTCATTTGTAAACCCTTGAAATCTCCACATGAAACGTTCTACATAAAACAGCTGCATATTAGAATTATGACTCTCGTTTTATGAATATCCTCAGGTAATACCCTGGAATTTTTCCCTTTAAAGATAGAGTTTTGAGATAGGTTTTTCAACATAATCTGAACAGGTCATTAGCTCATAAGAGCAGGCCGGTTAAAAAAATTTGGTGGTGACCTTTGAAAAGGTGTACTCAGAGGTTTCACAGCTGATATAAAAGACAGGCGCATGTAAAAGTTTGACAAGTCATAGAGACTCTGAGCCCCTGTCTCTTGGTAGAGTGACCAGAGACTAGAAACAACTGTAGCAGTGTTCCCCACATTAAACAGCTCCAGAAAACATCCTTTACTAAATGGAACATTTGTGTTTGACACTGCCATTCTAGGTAGGAGCAAAAGAAATGAATGGAGAAAACCAGATGAGTAATCCTATTTGGAATATTGTCTGTTTAATGAATGAAAGGAAAATACTTTTTACCACTGCTTCAAAATTTAAAAGTAGGAAAGTTAACAGGTAAAAACTGCTTCATTTGTCTGGTTGGAGAAAGAATCTAAACCAAAACCAGAAAAATTATGAAAAAGCCACAGGCCCTCATGGACAAATGAGAACTACCTCTGGTATTTGTGGTATGAGATATGCTTCCAAACATATCTTAACAAAAAAAAATTAATCCGTTGGATTAAGTGGAAAACACAATCAAAAGAGCAGATATAACTTATTTCTTTTATACATCTCCCCCAGCCTACAAGTGTTACTTTTGTACATCCATCATGTTAAGTTTTATCATAACAAAACATTGAACACCAGCTCCAGTGAAGTATACAGAGTTCAGTGTTATCTCCAAGTCAAAACTACAAAAATTAACACTACATATTTTTCTGTATGGTTTTACAAATCCTGGACCAAAGGCTGCAAAGCTGTAAACCTTAAACCTACAGCCCAGGATCAATAAATAGACGAATGGATCACCAAGATTTTTGTAAACTTTTTAGCAAACTTAGGTTGAGTGGGAACACAAAGCTTAAGAGATGAAGGATGGTCCAGAATCACGGAGGCAGCTACTGATTTGTGAGCGCCATGAGTAATTGTTGTTCTGCCACAGACTTCCTCTGGCCATGGGAAGTCACTTTGTCTACTTCAAAAGCAACAGGAGTTAGATGTCTAAATGATTCTGAGGAACTGGGACTAATTCCTCAGTTCCTCATGTACAAAATGGTGATAGTACTGCTGCCCTGCCCCACAAAGGTGTTATGAACATAGATATACAAACTCTGGGTGGTGCTCACTGAACAGTGATGGGAACATTAACATCTAAGAATGTTTTGCCATTGAGTACCTCTCATGTCTGGGCTGATGACTACATGCCTGATGCTACTTTTTTTCAGTCCTCCAAAGCAAAACTACAGTTTATTGTGGAAACAACTTTCTCTAACTCTGCTAAAGTTTGATCCATTAAAATGTTGTCATGTAAATATAAAATCAAAAAACTTAAATGTGAAATTCAATGTTCACTCATCACTAGATCTGTCGATCAGTTTTCATATTACACCCAGCCAAAAACAGACGGTTGGGATTATGAGGGTCCAAGTAATATTGTAATTATTTTTTCCCTTGTCCTTATGTTTAGCTAAAAGGCAGAGAGCAAGAAAGCACAAGAAAAAGTGAGAGCAGCATTTGACAAGACTCTCAGTATTAAGACTTGGTGTCTCAATCAAGGTTTAAAATCATAACTACTTAAAAATGCCCTCCACCAGTTACTAAGTATTTTCTATCTAAACTTTATCAACCAAGAGAGGGATGGATCCAATATACAGGTATAATCCAGAAAGTCTGCCAGTACTTCCACAACAATAAGAAATTACAACTGATTAAAACAAGTCACTCTGTATGATTCTACCTTAAACGTTCAATAGGAAGGAATTTCATCAACTAAGTTATTTGAAAATTCTTGGCATGTGACAACTGTTTCTGTGGTGAGGTCTCCTGGAACCACTAGACTTAACTAACAGTAACAGCTCTGCTGATGGGGACTCTGCATTTCATAAAGGCACCAATTTTTGCCACCTAGCGCAAGGTTTTATAAATTCTTTATGCTGCAGTTTCTACAAGGCCACAAACAACTCATGCACTGAAGGCCTCTCTCTCCTCCACCTTTACTCGTCCCAAGACAACTGTATATCACAATGAACTGGAAAAATCATTTTAGCAAATGTCTGGATCCCTTCTCTGTTCCATCCTTTGCACTCTCTCAACACCCCACCTGCTCTACATGGCAAACAGTTAAACATGCTTTATGCTACACTAATTCTCAAGCAGAAGAAACCATTTTTGCTCTGTCCAGACACGGTGTACACAAAAATATGAACAATTTGACATCATCCTCCACTCTTCACCAAAACTGCGTACTCCACTTCTCATTTCTTAGTTAATTACTGTTACAAAATCAAAGACAGGGATGTACATTTTGGATTTTGGTATAAAGAATTATTTTTGAAGGGTGGAGCTTTTTTTTTTTTTTTTTACTGAAATTTCCTTTTACTCCTATCAGATAATATGTTTAAACCTCATCCACACTAGAGATTAAACAGTTTTAGTCAACATAATATTACGTTACATAAACACAATTTGTTAGATTGTAATTGATACAATAACTATCTTATGCTATGACATTTTTGTGCAGACTAAAATCTCAACATATGCAGTGCTTTTCAATTGCGTCAAACAGAACAAATAAGACTGTTAGAATACATTTTAATCTACAGTGTGGAAGGGGTTTAGAATCCTGATATCCTAAAGATATAGTAGTATTTTAAAATACCTTAGGTCAAATTTTGGACATCCACAGATTTCCAGTTAACAGGGGATCAAAATAAATTCTTGATTAAAAATATCATTACATATGTCTAAATTCTTTGGTTTTACCTGAACGCAGAATACTAATTAGATCAAACTACGTAGCTTTAAGTCATCTGTTCTTTATAACTATGAAAAATAAGAGCTAAATATATACATTCAATGTGTGTTAACTGTAAGAGTACCTTTAGGGGTTCCATCACTTCCAGCTGGAGAGCATACCGACTGTGGTGATCTTAAAGAAAACGATGCAGCATTTCTTATGGAAGGATCACCATCCTAAAAAACAGTGATGGTAATGTATATTACAAGCAAGAACACTAGCTTAAAAAGACCTGCAATAAACATAATACTGAAAAGTATATCAGAGGACAATTACTAGTACAAAATTTAAATATATAAGGCTACTTGCAATTGAGGCCATTCCAGAGAGAATATTTTGAAATGAAATCAAGAGCGCTAATAAAAACCTATAACTAGAACATGCAAATAATAAATAAAAATGTATTCCTAACTTCACAAACCAATATAACATTGTTCAATTAATAGTTTTGCATAAATCAACATGATCCCTGAAAATTTTTGGTAGCTTTCCTGGTAATACAAATACCCATTAACCAGATATACAGAAATTGCCAATACAATTTTTAAGTTGTGTAAACAAACATGACATTAAATTTGACTTTCATATTTTTCACACACTATCTTTAAATAGAAAAAAAAAAGACTTCATTCAGTTTCTCATTTAACTTTTTTCTTTATGTTTGTTTCATTCATGAAAAATAGTAGAGCCCTCTGCTGGACAAAAGAATGCATATATACACAGGTTTATTACTAGAATACTGGGTAAATTTCTACAGTGCAACAACCTTAGTTTATTTTTATTTTTTCCAAGTACAGGAAAGAAAAAGCACACTTGCGTTTTCAAAAAAAGTACCCGCATTAAAAAAAAAAAAAACTTTTTGGCTTTTATTTCTATAAATACCCTCACTTTGAGAAAGGATCATTCTTTTAAACAGTGAAGTTAAACTCAAATAAGAAAAAAATTAGCGAAGAGAGTTAAAAGTTGGTCTAGTCGCTGGTCTAACTAACTGTATTACCAGTTATCTAAAAGGCATCACGCTGCCTTTTTCTTAATATTTTTCATTCTCTTAATATTTGGATTTCCTTCTTTCCATTTTTTCCAACATGCATTGTGCTTTGTAGCTTTGACACAACCAGTGTTGATTATTTGGTTTAATTTTAAGTCACAATGAAATCAGTAGTCTACATACTGAAACATATCACGTTAATCCTTCTAGAGTATGAATATTTAATTCTGGCAAATTCGGAAAACTGTCCAATCAAACGTGACACTAGAAAAGCAACTTTAGGCACGTACCTAAATCCAGACAAGTACTAAGTGTCTTACTGGAAAGGGGCCTTAAATATGAATATAAGTGTGAAGCATGCACTTCAAAACTTATGAAATGTTATAATACAAAAGATTAGTAAAGTGTTCAAAATTTAGAACTGTCCCTATACCTATTATTTTTTAAAGCAATTATAACATAAGACTAGGAAAAAGAACTATAGAAAAAAACAGCAATAGCAGGGAAATAGTCTTTAATGAAAGACTCAATCTATCTTGTACATAATTTATACGATGTCGTAATTCTCATTTATGACTGTGCTCATTCCAAGGGTCAAACTGCAATATTATATAAAAATATACTGCCAACACTTTTTTCTCAACCACAAAAATTGCTGAGAATTTTACACAGATTTTTTTTAAATCATCATCCAGGGAGCCATGAAGCACAAAAGGCATCAGCACCAAATACATTTTTTCAGACAATAATACGTGTAAAAACAGGACATTCTAATTAAGAAAATCTCTAAAATGTTGACTTTATTGAACTTGATTTATTTTTTTTAATTTGTAGCTCTTATATTAGGCTAAAATGCAATGATTTTAAAATTGTAACATATTTTCACTATTTTTTTTTCTACCTCGGATGTGTCCAGGCAGATTGGAAAATGAGAATAAGCCAGTCTACTGTCTATTTAACTGATTTGGCAATTGTCTGTTTAGTTAGCTGTTTAGTTTATTTCTTTTTCTGGTTAGCATTGCTATCAGGTTCTTATAGCTTAAGACATTTCTCCAATGTTTGGACTATAAATATTATTAGAGATATTAAATAGCAGCCTTTAATTACCTGAAGGGTGGCTACAAAGAAGAGAGAGCTAGTCTGTTCTCAGTGGTGGCAGATGACAGAACAAGGAGCAATGGTCTCAAGTTGAAGCAAGGGAATTTAAGTTAGATATTAAGAAAAAACCTCTCTCATTATGAGGCTGGTAAAGCACTGGAACAGGGTGTCCAGAGAGGCTGTAGAATTTCCATCTGTGGAGGTTTTTAAGACCCAGGTAGATGAAGCCTTGGCTGGTATGATCTAGCTGGAGGTGGTCCTGGCTTTTAGCAGGACGTTGGACTAGATGACCTCCTGAAGTTCCTTTTTAACCCTGATTTTCTATCATTTTTAAATGCCTTTTTTCCCCAAGATCTTTCTAAAAATTCCATTGAAAATGTCTATTGGTTAATTTTTACAAAAGATTTAATACAGCCAGGAAGTTTTAAAAATAAAGCTTAGCTCTGGAAAACATATACGTTTTTGATGTGAAAAAACTGTCACGTTTTATCACTGAGGCAGAGTGGTATGATCATCAGCTCCTGCTGTATATTATGCAGGCATTATATTGGCTTTCTACTGTATTTGTGATTTTATGTAAACTGTTACGTAAAAGCTCACTGCTTATTTGTTTGGTGAGCATTTTCAAACAGTGATATTCTGGAAACAACTGAATTACTGACTGTATGGTTGTGTTCACTAACGAAAGTGATACAGCTGATTTACTTTCTCAAGGTTTTACTGAATTAACTCTATTCAGGGATTTATCATACACTTCACTGGAGACTACAGAAAGCATCACAAGTGTAGAGCGTGCACCATGTTCTGCCTACTGATTAGCTAATATAAACAACAGGTGCCTACTATTGCAAGCTCATAAAACTATGCCCTAAATTTAAGCAACACAGGCTTACTTTGTTCCTGAATATCCATCCCAAGTTCAAATATTGTTCATAATCTGCAGCAGGGAACATAACACTACTCAAATAACTGATGCTTAAAACAAAACAAAAACTAGAACCTAAGATCACTCCACAAAAGATTCACTAAGAAATTAAATGACAAGTTTGTAAAAAAGAACCTCAGCAAGAAGGTTGAGAAACTGTTGGAAGAATTAAGAGTTCACTTAATGGAGAATTTATTATCAACATAGAAACTCATCTGGGATGAGTTCAGAGGTCCACTTTCTCTATAAAATTTAGCATATTTCAGATTGGTCACTAAAGCATGAAGTTCACTCACTAAGTGAACTGAACTGACCTCAGGAAAATGAGTTTCCACGTAAGAAATTAAGCTTATAGTTTCTTACACAAAATCTTGAATAAAAAAGCGTCCAACAAAACGTCCATCATTTTTGACAAGACCACTTTACTACCCAAGAAAGCATTTTAATAGACTGTTTCAAATGCATCATGGCCACTAGCAATGGACGCACGGCTTCAGTAATACTGATTTACCTATATAGACTCGCATACTGTTCACATCACCCAAGTATTTCAGGAAAGGTTGCCTCTAAAATAATCTTCACTTTCCATAAATTTGAAAGAAATGCTGTACAAGTGGTTCCAAGTGAAAGAGTTGTAATTTCAAAAATGTGAAAATTCAGACCTGCTCAATGTATGAAAGCAAAAACTGAAAAATTAAAATGTATTAGCTCCTCTAAGTTTTCCACCAATTCATCAACAGCACAAAGTGCTTGCCTTGGCTTTTAGGGCAGTTACACAAGATAAATATTTTTCAAACATTTGCTTTAATCTAAAGAACTGATATGTATATAACATACATCACTACTTAGTCTGTGCACCATCTGTAGGTAGTCTTCATTTGAGCCATGTCTAGTATTATCAGCATGGTGATTAGCTGAATTGCCAGACAACTGACTTGAAACTTTATTTTCATGTATGTTCCTCATCCCACCTGAGACAATGGGACTCGATACTGAAGCTGAAATAAGAAAAGAAATGAAGATGGATGTTTTAAGTAACTCTTAAAGATACATAAGCGTTAAATATTAAGACCTGTTATTGATAACGTATGCAAGACAAATGGATTGGAACTGAGATTAGCCATCAGTTGAACTCATCAGTATTCCTTCAGCAACAAGTAGTTGTAACAACTGTAAAATAACATTTACCAGGAATTTTTGAAATTGTATCAGTCACCTATTAATTTTCTTTTTTAAACAGAAGATTGTTTAATTTGCATTTTTTTTAATAAATTGAACTTGCATTTATAAAGTAGAAGTAAATAAGAGGGTTGATAACAGACGAAATACTTTTGGATCAAAACTGAAAACATTGAACAGTTATAGAAACATTTATTAAAGATTACATTGAACTGGAAAGGAAAAGTGAAGGTTTGGAAACATTTCTTAACTGAAATTCAAAGAGTCTAACCTCATATGACCAGATTAAAAGAAAAAAACAATACCTCTTAAAAGAAAATGTTAACAAGCACTACAATAAATAATACTAACAATAAATTATAGTTAGTCAACATTATCTTAAGGCAAATTGCTATTTTGGCTGTAATATGAAATGCATAGCAGAATAAACAAAAAATAAAAATGAACGAGTCCAAAAATATTTTTAAATTGGGCTTTCATCATTAGTGCATTAAATCAAGAAAATTGTCCATTCTAGAGTATCATGGCATAGAATGTATTCTCTGATGTTCATCTATACCAGGGGTAGGCAATGTTTTTTGGCCGGAGCACAGAAAACCCCACAATGCCTACCTTGGAAGGTGCCGGAGTGCTGGCATGCCAGAAAAACAAAACAAGGGCAGGGAGTACGTGGCAGGATGCCCTTGTTTTGTTTTGCCCTTTGCCTCCCACCCAAAACCCCTGCCCCCCAGCCCAGGCTCTGTGGCTATCAGCAGCTACCCAGAACCTGGACCAGCTGCAGCTGGAAGGCTGCAAACAGCTGCTGCCTCCCAGCCCCAGACCCGGCCCTGGGCACCAGGGAGGCAGCAGATACCTGTGATGCTCCCCACTGTGCTGCCCTTGCACACACTGCGCTCCCAGCCCTGATGCCCTCCCAAGCACAGTGTGTGTGACCCAGAGTAGGAGCACACAGAGGAGCTGCACAGGGAAGCTTGCCTGCTGCTGCAAGCTCCACGCTGCCCAGGTCACACTTCCCCTGTGTGCATGGGGGCAGCATGGGCAGCACACAGGGTTGTGACCCTCACTGCTGCCCCCACCTGCAGGGTAAGTGTGGCCAGGGCAGTGGGGAGCTCAGAACAGCAGGCAGCTTTCTGCGCCCCTGCTGTGCCCTGCCACGTGGGGTTTCACACGCTGCTTTGCAGAAGTGGCGAAGGCAGCATCACCGGTATCTGCTGCCTCCCTAGAGCCCAGGGCTGGATCTGGGGCTGAGAGACAGCTGGGGCCGGAAGGCAGCAGCTGTTTGTAGCCTTCCAGCTGCAGCCAACCCAGGTTCTGGGTAGCTGCTGATAGTCACGGAGCCCGGGCTGCTTGCAGCAGGGCCTCCATCCTCCCAGCCGGCTGCTGGGAGCAGCCCAGGCTCCATGGCTATCAGCAGCTACCTCAAATCTGGGCTGGCTGCAGGCAAGAGGCTGCAAACAGCTGCTGCCTCCCAGCCCCAGCCCCAGGCTCTGGGAAGACAGCAGGTGCCGGCACTGTGCCTGTTGGGACCAGGGCTGTGGGCAGCATGGGGCTGGGGCCAGGGCCCACCGGCAGCACGGGGCTGAGGCTGTGGGCAGTATGGGACTGGGGCCCTTAGCAGCATGGGGCTGGGGCCCACTGGCAACAGGAGGCTGGGGCTGCATCTGGGCCATCACCAGCACCAGGATGGGGGAGGCAGCGGCACCAGGCTGGGGCTGAGGCCAGAGCCACACAGCGCTGAGGCCTGTGGTGGTGGTGGTGCCGGCTGGGGCCCGCTGGCAGCACGTGGCCGGGGCCTTCAGCAGCGCCAAGATGGGGCTGGGTTCTGTGTAGGTCCACGTCCGCGGGACCCAGCCCCATTCCAATGCAGCCAATGGCCCTGGCCAGGCAGCGGCACTGTGCTGAGGCTGGTGGTGGTAGTGGTGAGAGCTGGAGCCAGACCTGCCAGCAGCTGGCACCACCACCATGGCTGGGGCCTGGCCCAGGCCTAGCTGGCTGCCAGGGCAGTCAGCAGAGGCCGGGATGGGGCTGGGGCCTGCACAGGTCCACAGCCCCATCCCCATGCAGGCCCTGACCCGGCAGCAGCACTGGGCTGGAGCCGGCAGCAATGGTGGTGCCAGCTGGGGCTGGGCCAAGGCAGGGCCAGGGACTACTTGCAGCGTGTGACTGGGGCCAGGGCCATTGGGGTGGCACTGGGCCGGGGCTGGTGGTGGTGCCAGGCTGGGGCTGGGGCTGGGGGGCTCCTACCCAGCTGGGGTCAGTGGCAGCACAAGGCTGTTCCCAGGCAGCCACATGCTGCTTGACCTGGGCATGGCTCTTCCCGCCCCAAGGGGCGGGAAGCAGTCTGCGTGCCAATCAATATCATGCCCGTGCCACCTTCAGCATGTGTGCCAGAGGTTGCCGACCCCTGATCTATACAATATATATTTGTTAGTTATCACAATTATGAAAATATATACCTACAAAATATATTATTATTAATTCTCTCCTTAAGAAGATGGTTGTCTATTGTGAAAGGATCATTTTCTTCCCATATATACTATTATGGTAGCTAATCTTTCCCTAATATTATACAAAATGTATTAGTTTTTCATCACTATCACAGGCACAACTAAACAACTCTAAATGACATAAATGGCACGAAACTCACAACAATCTCGCACTTAAATGCAGTTAAATGCAAATTAGGCTAAGTAATGACAAGTATTTCAAAACTGAGTTTTTGGTTGTAGCTGTGTTGGTCTAAGGATATAGGCAGGCAAGGTTCTTTGAGTAGATGTGATATCTTTTATTACACCAACTGAGTCTTTGGAAAAAATTTCTTGGCAAGCTTTCAGGCACAGTCACCCTTCTTTAGGCACATGGAGTCTCTGCTGGTATGAGACTCCAAGGAAGACTCCCTATGCCTGAAGAAGGGCGATTGTGCCCGAAAGCCTGCTAAGAACTTTTCCGCAACAACTCAGTTGGTTTAATAAAAGGCATCACATCTACTCGAAGAACTTTGCCTGCCTAGGTATTTCAAAAGTCTTTTCAGAACAATCTAAGTCACTCAAATGAAGACTTTTTTCTGCTATATTTTAAATAAATCAAACTAGGGTACAAATCCATTTTTTTAAAAAGGTATTCCACTATCTTTGTTAAAACTATTGCACACTTGGTACACTCTGCACTATGATGGCTTTGCTAGAATAGCTACACTGCAGCATTTTTCATACCTAATCTATATAGATGTGTCTGCAATATTTTGTAGCATAAACCTGGCTTACTTGCACACAGATCCTACTAACTTTACTCAAGTTTCTTCATGAATAGTGTGGGCAGGATGGGATTTTTTGAAAATAATTAAACATCTGTGAAATATCCATGTAGAGTTAAAAGTTAACAAGACTTCTGCATACAGAAGGACTATTACCTTGTTGCATCTGGGGATGTGGTGTGTAACTTGGAGGATGTGAATATGGCATGTATCCCGCAGGGCTTTGAGGAGCATATGGACTAGGCACTGGGCTATTCTGTTGTGCCATAAATCTGTTACCAGAGCTTGTCTGTGGTGGCACAAACCGGCTGAAAACAAAATCCAAGAAATTCACAAATTAGAAGAAAGAAAAAAGCAATGTAGGTATTTTAAACACTTTTATAAGCTTAATCATGCAATCCAGTTGAATCAAGAAGCACTTAAGAATAACATTTCTGGCAATATTATCTGCACATTCTCCAATTCATTTATAACGTAAGTCTCAGACTATTATACCACAATAATCAAAACTAAAAAGGGGATAAAAGCACTAAGTACTTCATATACCTGGAACTAAGCAAGTAGTTGTTCAATTTCCAACTTAGTTATTACAGAAATGTATAAACTTTTGCTAAAATAATTTGTATAATTTCCAAACTTACTAATAGATTATTAAACAGACATAAATGAAAAGATCACATTTAACTTTCAAGTCCTGAAAAAACAAGTATTCTATATACTCCACATGTGGATATTTCAATAAAATTTCACAGAACTTTATCCAATTAAAATTAAAAGCTAGAACAGGGTGTTAGCCAAACAGGACCTGATCCAAAATCTACTGAAAGCTACTGAAATTCTCCCACTGATTCAGTACATACTGGACTATCTTATAAAGACGCATACAAAACAACCAAAAATAAAGAGTCAGGGAGAGATTTGGTAGTGGTCTGCACACAACTTGCAACAACCAAAAATACCACATTTGGTCCTACAAGTCCTAGATAAGCCCAATAGAGGAGTGAAATGAATGGGGAGTTTGTTTTGTAAATCATTTTAGATTATTTAGTTATGCATTATAGTAAGTCTACAATTTTCTTCTAAGCTTTCTCTACTTTAATGGGTAAACTAATCCTCATTCTCGTTGTAGAGTGCAGCTGTAACCCTAACACTTCCTCCCATCAAAATATTGTTTGATAATGGAAATCAATAGCTTGTTATGAACTTACCGAGAGCATAGGAAACAATGCATTATCAGGAATTAATAATGGAATGTACAAAACAAAAAACTTTCAAGTTTTAGACTGAAATTACTTTTATTCTTGCTCAAGTCAGTTTAATTAACTTGTAAATCTACAAATACATAATTTAACATTTAAAATGGTAAACATCCTATCATTTACTTTTACTTGGACCAAATTTTTTTTAATGAAGGCTAAGTACCAAGTAGCCTTAATAAAAACAAGTATTATTCAAAACCAAAGTCTGTTTAAAATCTTCAAAGCCTTTCTTGACATCACTTTTAACTGAAAGTCTCTCTCAAAGGACTGAAGATTTTTTTTAGTTAAAAAAGAATAAAATTAAATTAACTAAGGTACAATGCCAAATAAAATCTAAGGCTTAGAAAAAATGTAATGAGATTTGTTAATTACAGGCCACAGGTATCAACCATAAGCCCAGAGGCTCTGATAGCATACAGAATCTTCTCACAGCTGACACCTCCCTGAGTTAAGAGAAGCTTCCAGACTGAAATAGCTTGCTTACTGAAGGTCAGAGAGGATAAAGACAGCTAGAGAGGGCTGAGCTAAGCAGGACAGTCTTCCATGACTGGACATAGATACTTTAGTCCATCCTATTCTCAGCAACCCTTTGACCTGTTTTTGCCACAGTCCCAAAACAGTCCTATAAGGCTTATTCCCTGTTTTCTATACCTCTGGTCTCTGCTGCCACCATCAAACATGTAGGAATCTCTTCAGTCTACCATAGCTACCACCAATACCTTCTCAGTATGGGAGTGGTGAATTGAAAAACATAGAGACATTAGGCCAAATTATCAACATCCTTTGGCAGAGTTGCAAAGTGAAGTAATAGGTAGGAAAAATTCCCCAAAATTGTGCATATGTATTTAAGTGCAAATTAGTTCACTAAAACAGGGTGTTTTTTAAATGTCCACACAAGCCATGTTAGACTTGGTCCTCTTAAAGAAGCTCACTTGTAAATCAAACAAGAACAAATAATTTGCTTCTGGTCAATTAACTTTTCTCTAGCCCACATATATGCACCAAAATGTTACCACAAAATTGAATCTGGGACCCCAGCTTTAGACACTGCATTACCTGGAAGGGCTATGTGAGATAGTGGTTTGTTGATAATTGGAAGATGCAGGACTACCATGCATGGAATTCTGAGAGAGTTTATACTGCGGCATCATCATTCCTAGAAAGAAGAAAATATCAATTTTAAATATATTTTGTGAGTGAGTGAGTGAGTGAGTGAGTGAGTGAGTGAGTGAGTGAGTGAGTGAGTGAGTGAGTGAGTGAGTGAGTGAGTGAGTGTTTCAGCTATTTTATAGAAAGAGCTTATAAAGTTTAAAGCAAGCTTATTACTACCCTCTATCCTCCTACAGTTATATTAGAAAAAGATTCCCATGTTAGACTCCATGTGACATGTACATTTCATACTTATTTTCATAAATTTTCATATATTATACCCATTTCACACACCAAATTCTCCTAAAGCAGCTTTTTCCCCTTAGGAAAGCATTTCCAAGGTAGTTGCTAATGTTTCTTATCCAAGCTCACACAGCAGCTAGCAAACAATGATAAATCTTAGCATTTTATAACAGAACATTGGGGCTGCACAGCAAGATAATTTGTAACTAAGTAATTGTTACTTACTAAAGCTACTAAATTAGGTAAATGGTTTGTGTTGAAATAAGGAAATGTGAGGCCAAATGAACAGTAAGAAATGACTATAGTATCTCCAGATAAAAGCATACAAAGGTTGGATTTTACAGCAACACTCAGGAAAATAGACTACTCACAAAAATGGCAATATGCAGCACCTGTCTACATTCAACCTTACATTGTATTGAAGCATTTATAAAGGGTTAACTTGTTTTGCAGTAAGCTTCATACAGTAAAAATCAAATGCAAAAATAAAATTAAAAGAACCAGGCAGCATTAAATGCATCTTGTACAGAATAAACTGCAATAGCCACCATAAAAAACCACCCTATTCCTATCCACAAAGGAATCAATTCCAAACTTGTAAAGGGAAAAGGGAAAACAAAAACTGAAACGAAATTAAAGCAAGTGGAAGGAAGGTAAAGACAGTCAAAAATAGCCCTATTAAAAGAAGCAGACTTGAAGCATGTTTTAAAATTTAGTCTGTGAGGGACTCCCGTGGATCTTTGTCTCCTTTAACCAAGAGTTCCATGGAAACGAAAACCTGTCCTTTGCCCAGTCCTGATTCAAATCTAACACTGTTGAAGGCTTTGGATCATTTCCAGAGAAGCTCCATTAGGGTGCAGTGCAGGAACTGAAAATATTATTTCTACTTGTACATTTCCTTGCCTTTCCGTGACAATCTACTATGAAGAGATCAGACCTTAAACTCCAAATGAGCCTTTAGACCTCTGCTTGGAAATACTACCCTGGGCATGCTTTACAGCTTTGGGAGCCAACTAAATATTAAGTCAGTGATAGTTTTCAATCACTTTGTGCTAAAAACTTTGAAGAATTAGTCAATTTAATATGCGGGACAGCCAGCAAAGCTAAAGGTGTTTTAGTAATTGCCGGGTGAATTGCCACAGCTCTTTAGATTACTGTATGTCCATCAGGTCACGGAAATTGCTGTTCAGATGGTTCCAATTCCTGGGATGGAGGAAGAGCTTTATATACACACGTATGCAAGTCTCATGTGCCCGATCATAAGATAAAATTTGCTGTAAAATATGTTCGCAAAAAGTTATATCTACCACAAATTAGATGGCTACTTTTTACTTGAAAGCAAAGCCACTGCTCTGCAAATTTTTTAATGTAATTTTCAACCTTTTTTGCTTATCAAATCTCTGCAATTTTCCAGTTGAGAATGCAAGTTGCCCAACCATCTTAGTTGAGATGCATGATTTAACCCATCCTGTTGTTTGGGCTTTTTGTTTAAACCAGATCATTGGGCAGTAGGGGTGTGCAAAATAGGCCCTATTCAATTCGGATTCAGATTCAGCCCAAATTGGGGACAGTGATTCGATCCATTGATTTGGATCACTGTCCCTGATTTGATTTGGCCAAACTCAAATCTGAAGATTCAATGCCAATTCAGAGAATCAGCGATTCAGACATAGACATAGCTTTATATGTTTTTTCTACATACCTCAAGGTACCAGGCATAGCTCATGTATGCTGCGATGGAGGGGCAAATGCAGCATCCCCCCCCTACGTGCTTGGTGGTGAACCCAGAAGTGGACCAGTACTAGTTCCAGTCCACTTCCAGGTCCACCAGGGGACGCACAGCCTCTCCATGCCCCCTTGGCTCGGCGATCAGCAGCAGGGGGACCCTGGGTGCCCCCCAAGACCCAGGAGGCACCAGTCACTGAGCCAGGGAGGTGCAGGGGGGTCTCCAGCATGCTTTCTGGCAGACCTGGAAGTGGACCAGAATGGCTTGTGGTCCACCTGCGTGTCTGTTACCGAGCGTGTTGGGGGGCCCCCTGTGCTTCTGTGGGACACTCCATGTGCCCCAACACTGCAGCATTCATGAGCCGCCTACTACCTAGAGGTATGCAGAAAAACATTTAAAGCTGTGTCTATGTCTGAATCTCCAGATGTTTCCGCATCTCTCTGAATCAATTTGGAGGGTTCCGATTTGATTTGTAGAGATTAAAGGGTCCTCTGAATCAATTTGGATCTGGAGATTCGGCCACCTAATTGGGGCAAATCTCTGCTGTATTGTATCAGGGGCCAAAGCTTCACAGAGCCCTATTAGGCAGTAAAAAACTTAAAATGCCACCTTCAGACACAAGTTGAATACCCTTTTAATATCTGGTGGAAATGTAAGTGGAGAGCAAAAAGCCTACCCTTGCATTCCAAGAAAAGTTGTTAATGTTTACCATGTTTGCTGAATCAGTTCTGATAATCATCTTCTCCTGTACTACTGTGGATCCATGGATAAACATAATCATTTCTAAAACTTGTCTCAGAGGTGATAGCAATTAATGGGGAAATGCAGATTTTTACAAAAACCAGAGAGAACAAACCTCAAAGACTTGAATGCCGTTACTGATTCTTGGAGGACAAAATTCAGGCTCCAAGCAGGCATCCAGTTAGAGTAACAGATTTCTAAATGATGCCCTCCTTAATAACAGGGAAAATACTGGTACATAGCAATGAGCTGAATTCTTTTCTGGCTCATCATATTTAAATAGGCTGAAAATCAGTTGAGATTGTGACCCATAAACAAGTCATCTTGCAGTAACTCCAACTCATGCCTAAATTTTACAGCTTACATTTACTTGATTCATATGAATATCTTAATTTTGTCTGCATATTTCTATGCGCTTCATGTGTTGATTTCTTCCAAGAAGAAAAGGAAAAAAAATAACCTTCTCAGAGACCATGTTTACATTTTCTTTGAGCATGCAAATGCTCTTTTTCAATTTCTAAACCAAAAGACATTGCAAATTAAGGTTTGGTTTGCATCTGGCTTAAAAATGAGAACTACAGCCCAAAGGGAAGACAGGGACAATTACTATCACTCTTGCTTATTCTGTTATCAAGAAGAGTGAGAGGGAACACAAACCAGCTCTGGAGGTCAAGGAAGAGCATCTTTTCTCTATGCCTTTCAGGTCACTGTATAGATAAGGACCCTTGAGTCTGTTCAACCTTGAAGCAAACAAGTCCAAGATCTTGTCTACACAGGAAAGTTAGGGTGAAGTAAAATTCACATTAGTTTACAAGGTATTAGCTATTCAACCCTTAGTGCCCATATGATCACTTTTATCCTGCAGGTGGTACACAGTACTTTATTCAACAGTGAAAATGGAATATTTTGCACTTACTACACATTAAAAGTAATTACATGGGAAGCATGGGGCCAATTTCCTGCTTATAAGTTTTATTCTTGGTCTGTTCATGTTTCTTGCATTATGGTCTTTCAATGAGCCCCTACATTTGAACAATAACATGAAATACTTTTGTAACTTCTGTTCTAGCCTACCTACACACTCTGAATTAAATCTATGAAACACCAGCTGGAGTTTAGAGAACAGAACTTTTACCTTGTGGGCAAAGTTGGAAGGGAAGCAGATTCTCTTAAGTCACACAAAAATATTCGTACTATTCACATACACAATATTTAAATAGCACAGAATTGCATTAGAGTTTTAAAGAGGGGAAATTATAAGCTGGTATTCCTGCCTCACTGAGATGGAGCATGTAGTAGAGAAACTTGCAGAAATCAGATCTATCCAATAAAAGATCCAAAGGAATTACACCAAGTTCTGAAAAAGAATCTAGAGAGCAGCAAGATAGCCAGACTCTAATTTCCTCCCATGGGAAACCAACAGGCAGGGTCCTGAAATCTGCTACTGATTGGCAAAGGGGTGACAACTATAGCTCTGAAGTTTTTATTGAGTACCATTTCATCTCCTGCTTCGAAACGCCTCGTGGAGGATTAGGAACCTGCTCATGTACAGGCACGCACACTTCTCAGTCGAGGACTGTGTCAAAATTGGACTGAGATGCACGGATACTACAGGAAATCAGTAGAAATTGTTGAGAAGGAGATGGCAGAGATCATATGGAAAAGAAAAGCCTGGCACAGACTGTTCAAAGGCGGGAGAGCCAGTGAGAGCAACAACAACAATGATGGAGATGACCACAACAGTGATGATTATAGTAATGAGTGAAATGACTGAGGAATCAAGAGGGGGAGCTAGAAGGGGAGAGGGGGTAAGTGGGGTGGGATGGGAAGGGAATGCAGAGGTGGTCCTTTGTGCGATTGACAGCTAATAGTGAAGTGGTAGAAACACAGGAGCATAGGCACACAGGAGCACAGTATAGTCACTGTAATGGGAATAAGGATAGTGTAACTGTAAAGGCGTGCTTCGGACTCTCAGGTGAACGAAAGCAGTCATAACACACATCTGTAGAGCCATACGTAAACAGACAGACAAATGAACAGACATTCACAAAAAATACTGATTCAAACTGAAATGGTATTCAAACTAGTTTGTGTTTTGGAAAGTTATGTCACCTGTGGACAAGGCATATGACAGGTATTCCAACGCCATCATTTTGTAACTCAGATCCTTACATCTACTAGACAGTTGTTTACTCTCAAATAATGTGGTAAATAAGTACACAACCAGAAGTTTCTTCATGAAAAAGGAGTGAAGAGAGCATAGAGGAGAGAGACTTGAGAGTCTTGCTAGCATCAAG